GGACGACTCTGCTTCCAGGAGAGAATTAGCATACCGCTACAAGTTTTGTGACTGTTCATCTTCAGAGAATCTGTATTAATTCAGTCTGAGAACATCAGGGCAACTGGTACAGCTAATCATTAACAGCATGAAAGAGTTTTTAAAAAATCAACATGAAACTGACTCATGTCCATCGTTGACTAGTAAGTGATTATAAAAACACAGGGTCATAGCAGATTCTTAAATGGGTAGAATGACATTTTATATTTTAGCTGAAATAACCATTTGGTAAAACTTTATTAATAAAGATTCCTGCTTAATCCAGACCTATTTTTTAAACTCCCAGTAAGTTTATCTTGAATTTGTAGAGACTTTTGGACAATCCTGTTGGGTTTCTGGGAAAAAAAATTTGCTTTAAATTCCTACATTTTCAAGGATATTTGGATAGCTGTCTTTTAGCTTTGCCTACGTATTGTTTCCTGCAGTTATCCTCTGTACAAATGGAAACATGGTTATATTTTTAAATTTGGGATATAAATTTCACATTTTAAATGTCTAAGAACAAATGAAAAGCTAAAGAAAGAGGCCTTGCAGCAAAAACAAGTTGAAGCCTTGCACCAAATTATTTTCACAAGTAGAATGAAGTACCATTGAGAAGGAAAGGAATACTTCATATGTATGTCAGCAGTTTTTTAAAACAATGAAGTAGAACATTTAAATATGTTTACTTCAACCTTTCTTGCAATAGACATGGATATCAAAGGCACAAGTGCATACATTAGATCTATTAAAAAAAATGAAATTAGTGTTTCCGTGGAAAATCTGAATTTTGTTTTCATTCCAAGTAAGAATTTTATAAAATATAAATTCCACGAAGTACATTATTTGTATTTGTCACAATGTAATTTATTAGTTGAAATATTCTGAAAATATTCTGTAAGCCACTGAGGGGAAATGCTACCTAGTATTAATTAGAACATTTTAAATGAAAGCTTATTCTCATTTTCATATAGAAATAGCAAACCCATGTATTAATATTGTGGATCTGATTTAGCTCTTCTTTCTTGTTTCATCTTCTAGGTCACAATGCTTGGTAAAATCTAGTACAGTTACTGCTAGCAATGTTGATAATAAAATGCACAATCTTTAATCACTTCAAAGACTCTTCTGAGATTTTTGTATTTCTCAAAGATATTTTAACAGCAATCAATCTCAGTGAAGCTTTTAACATTTCATTTTTCACAGTCTACAGGAGAACTCATCCCTTTTTCATAGCTAGCATATTCTTCTCAAAAGGAAAAAAAAAGCATGTAAGAATGGAAGAGTCCGACAATGTAATTTAAAAGCATCAAACCTTAATTATGTCCAGCTAAATATAGATGTGCATTCTGGAACCGAGCACTGCTCTAAACTTCTTCCCGTTTAAAAAGAAGGACTGTCCCTTCAATTGCTTTAATGACAGTGATTCCTGTGATCCCACATAGTGCCATGGTCTTGTTTTAAATAAGGTTTAAGAGTTTACATTAGTAATAATTAACTGTTCTCTACTGACTGTTTTCAGCAAGGAGTGAAGATGAGCTCAAAATATTTTTAGTTTCTTCTGAGGCTGTAGCTTCCCTGGGAAAGATATGTACTTTACACATGAATTCTGTCAGACTCTGTGCTGGGTAGGTCCATTTGTTTATGGACCATCATATGTAGCTCTGGGAGCACAATGAGCCTGACTCTGCCTAAGACCTGTTCGACTTTGTTATACTATACAAAGTAGCTTTTGTTTTCATGGAGGAGTGAGGGTCAGCCAGGGCTTTTACTCATCCTGTTCCTATTGATGGGGTTTGTATAGTCAGGTGCCAGATTATATGTTTTATGTTGCTACACATAAGCACAAGTGCTGCTGCTTTGTATGCTTTGAGGCTGAGTGTGCAGTAGAGCATAGGTGTCATTAAGAACAACCTAGACATTATGACCTCTTTTTTGAAAGCTGGTTGAAACATACTGTGAGCAAAACTGACATTTTAGTTTTTGCAGAAGGGCCTGAGTAGAAAGAAGAAAAAATAGAAAAGTAATTGTCATCAGACATTGGCTATTATTTAACTATATCTAATTAGTACAACTACACAGCCTTCTGTACACCTGGGAGTAAAATCTGTGAGAACATTTTTTGTTCATTCTGATTTTTCCCTCCATGACTTAACGCTATTCAGCTACTAGGCTTGACAGAAGTAAGTAAGGAAGGAGATCGTTCCACAGTAACTGGTCATTTTAAAATCTGAGCAACTGATTTTTGTCATGGTGATTGAAAGAGGGGGTATGATGCCTCCATAGCTGATTCTTCTAGAAATTTTAAAGCAGTTTTGAACTAGTAGCATTTGTGAATGCAAACTGTACTGGCTTTCTTGAGCAGGTCTGTCACATGTCTACTGAATTAAAAGAAAGAGAGCAATAGTGTTACCATTTCCTACTTACCTGCCTGAGAGTAATAGTTTCACACAGGTTCTTGATTTAGGTATTTTCATTCCTGGTCAGCTTCAATTTCCTGATTCTCTGTCAGAGAGAGCTGACTTAAAGAATGTGAGGTGCTCTTCCAGCTTTTATCAGTTGGTTCTGGTCCCCTTTGTCTATTCAGCTCTCCTGTATTGATCTCACCTGCACCCTCTGCTATGGAGTGTTTTAGACCCAAGCTACCTATACCCAAATTTCCAAATGTATTTGTAAGGACAGTTGGGGAGCTTGTGGCTTGTGACGGCTGCTTTACATAGTAGGAACAAAATTATTAAACCTGTTTCTGCAACTGTATTTTTCGCAAGGACAAATTGCATGCCAGAATTTTAGCATAACACATCCTGTATTAAAAAAAATAATAAATGAAATACCTTTTAGTGATGGAGTTCCTGATTAACATGATTATTCTTTGATTATTGACAGTTACAAATGCTAGCAGTCCTTAAATATTATATTTATAACCTGATATCCATTGTGTGGTGGTGTGTTGAAAGTAAAGCCAAAAGCAACTTCCTCCTCCAGGTCAAAAGCCGGCAACCTAACCACTGGCAGCTACTGCAGTCTCTACTGGCAGTATGCAGCTCTAGACAAATTTTATGTTGGATTTTAAAAGCCAGCAGAAATACGAACCTATTTTGTCTAGCTTCTATAGGGAAAGTACGATGGACTTTTCATAACGCTTAAAATAAATCTTATGTTTCTATCGCCCACCTTTCCAGAGTAGGGTTGGTAAGTCAAATAGGTCAGAGAAGCTGGTATTTTTGTTTCTCTCATGTGAGTAGAAATTTGCTAAAATATTGGAAGTTATGCCAGATATGCTGTGTTGTTCTGTAGCATTCTGAATATACGTGTCCTTTTTAAAATTCATTGAAATGTCAATATTTAGACCAATTCTCTAATTTTCAGTTCCTCAGCTCTCAGTAATTGCTACACTGTTATATCGTTAAAAATGTCATTTAAAAATGCTAGGTTTGAGGCACAGATATTTGCAATTAAAAATATTAATTGATGTATGCCAGATTATATAACTTCAGGTTTTCATCAGGACAGTGATCTACTGGACCGACGGAAACATTGCTTCAGTGTCCAGTCTGAATCTGGAGAAGATCTTTACTTCTCTGTGGAACTAGAGTCTGACCTAACACTATGGGAAAAGGCCTTCCAAACGGCAACTTTTTTAGAAGTTGAACGCATACAGGTGAGAACAACTACCTTGATGATTACGTTTTACTGCATTAGCTACTTAGGTCTATATGAAATAATACTGCAATTTAATAAACTCTCTGACCTCCTGCAGCTCGCAAATTGCTATGTATGTTACTGCATAAAAACCCTTTTGATGTTCCCAGGCAGCTTGCAACCTAATGTGCAGAAGAGATCACCGCAAATGCAATCTTTGAGTTATTAGGTGGCGAGTATTTATTGACTTAAGTTCATGCACAGAAGCAGAAAAACTATCTATAGATCAGCAGTTTAGATATTCCTACATATTATCTTACATGCTACTTTATTTGTTATTGGATGACATAACAGAACCTTGCAGGAATGAAATTATCCTTCTAGTAATCAGGAGTGAGAGTATACTGAGTAAAAGTACTTACTGGATGCAAGCAAGAACAAAATTGTACCTCAAATACACTGTTCTTTTTTTTTTTACGTGTTTCTTGTGTATATATTCAATTGTTGGATGGCAGAGCAGAGATGAATGACATTGAAGTACAGATCACTAGCGAATTTTTATAGCAAAATTACATATCAGAGTGTTTAAAGGTATCTTGTTTTCCTCACCTGACTAAAAAGTCTTTTTTTTTAAATTTAAAATAGGAGAAAAAAATACTCACAGCAATTACAATATGCCTAATCATAGTTTTTATATTGATGCTCTAATCGTAAAAACACATAGTTGGAGCAGCTTTAGTTGATGTTGCCATGAATTATACTGTATACACACCTACAAAAACCATACTAGCTTCTTATCCTGTGCAGGCATTGGCTAACACTGACTTTCTCTGCACTCGTTTTCTACATCCTCCTGGGAATGCAAGCACTGATAATTTTTTATTTAGACAAATTGTTACTTAGTTATATTAGTCCTCTTCTGACCTATAAATTAGGACATGCAGATAGGCTGAATTAGTATATACTAATGATGACCCATTTTGCAAAAAGTACACTGCTGGCAGCTTTAAAGCATATTGCATTTGTTGGAGGATTCAAAGAAGGTTCAACTTTTATCTTTAAGTTCATGTACTCTGCTGCCTTTCACAGGAGCTGTTCCTACCTTTTGAACTTTGACTGTTGTGCTGAAACATTTAAGTGTAGTTTTCCTGTATAAAAACTGCAACCGTGTGTATTCTCTGCTACTAAATATTTGAGGTGATTTATCTTTCTCATATAAGGCAATATTGTTTGCGGAAGCACTACTGTGCGTCTATCAGTAGAATAATATATGGCAATTTTCCTCTATAATCCTGTATAAATTTAATTCAGAAGCCACTTCATATTCGTTCTTCTCTAATATTGATTCATACTGTAGCATTCCTAGTTTAGATTTTTCTCTTGGGTTTTAGAGTTACATTTATTCAAAATTGCTCCCATGTTTCCCCAAAAGAACTTCCCTAATAGTCTTAACCTCAGACCTTTCCACCTCTCTTTTCACTATACTGATGTTCAGGGTAGCAATTATGAGCTCAACATAATGAGTTCCTGAGACTGTTTTATTATAGCAAATCTGTGAAGGTGGATAAACAGGCTTCTCATGATAGAATATTTTTGTGGATCTCGCACTTATGATTTCACCTCTGTTTCTTTACTTTCTTGCTTCTCTGTAGCTCAGTTTGGGAAAAAATAGAATGTTAATTTTTAATAAAACTAGTCTTGGCCTCCTCATTTTTTATTTCAGCAATCCATTACTGCTTTCACCCACCAGTTTGCAGATTCAGATAAAACCTGGTACATTTTTATTAAAAATGTGTTTTATGCAGTAGTATTCATATGAATATTCATATTTTATGTGAATTATAATTCAGCTGTGTGCAGGTTTGCCTTACTATGAAATGCCATTTTGAAAACAGACCTGTAGTTTAAATCTACTATTTAAAATTATTCAAATGTTTTATGTACTATACCATAATAACACAAATAGTAACGAACTTATTCAATGGGGATGAATTGGCATTAACCTCCACAAGATGTTAGTCAGGGCCCTATTCTGAAGTAATTTTAAAGAATACATCACCAGTTAAAGTATTTTTAAAATGCCTCACTATAAATGTGTAATGAATTCTGTTTGAGCCTAATTCATAGTTTCTGCCAGAGATATATCTAAAACAAAAATTAGGCAGTTAGGTATTTTTTTAAGAAGGAAATACGTTAGAGGAAAGATAGTCAAGCTGATAATAGTTTAGCAATAATATGGCATGATATACAGTCATTCTTTAGTTAGTTTGCTTTAGAGTAGTTAGAAATGCTAATCTATTTTCGTAATTACCTATTAAAAATTAGTTGAAATTGAAATAATTTTTCCTTCATATCTCACAGCATTGTTATATGAAGAATATATATTCTATATATCTAGAATGCATTATATTCTATGTATCTAGAATCTTTATCTACCTACTATAGTTTGCATTATGATGTGCAGTTATGTGTGATTATCAAGTTCCATTTGTATTCCTGCTACTTTATGCTAAAATTTGCATCATGAATTTTTTTCTTGCTGTCCTTCTTGTTTGTATTGTAGTCATTTTTTACCTAATGTAAGGATTATTGTGTAAACTGCTTTGTGTTACAGTACATTTGTCTCCGTTGAAGCTGTGTTTGAGTTTAAAAGTCTAAATTAAATCTTAGACTTACAGTATGATTTCCTTAGCTTACACAAGGTTTAAAACATACCATTCTTTCCAAATTTAAACTGTGCATATTGGGGAGTAGAATCGAAGGAACAACTTTTGGATGTCTCCTTCAACCCCTGCCTGACCTGCTGAATTATTCATAAACCATATTTAAAATTCTGTGTTGTGTGAGAGAACAAGAAACGAATACTGAAATATCTTCCACTTCTTTGGGGAGGATGATGCCTCAGTTCTGATAACGTTTTCATGAACTCCATCATGAAATACATGGTCTGAGGGCATAGACTGGTCTTACACATGAGTAAAGAATAAGTAAAGAATCAGCTACTAATGGTGGTGTGCACCTTACAGTGCAGTTTCTTCTTACTAACAACCACATTGAGCTGAACTAGATGATATTTCTCCACAAACTTTTATCCACTCTCTTTTGTAGAGAATCTTCATTCTGGGAAGCATTTTTCAGTGCGGTATTGAACCAAGACTGATATGTCTGGTTTCTCATAAATCTCAGCCTTTCAGTGAGGCTAATTAGACCAGCAGGCACAGTTCTATGTGTAAACAGGGGTGCCTGTGCAGCTTGGTGCTGCAGTGCATGTTGTTGGTTGACCTCTGGTGTTGAGGTGGGAAGTCAGCAATCCGTATTTTAAATCTGATATGCTGTCTCCATGTCAAATTTTAACTCTCAGTAAAGGCTTCATGTTTGCTCTCAATACTTTGGAGGTCTACAAATAAAAATGTAATTTGTGTCTTGTAGGAAGTTAGCAAGACGATTCTACAAAACTGTACATTTTTTGCTTTGCATGCAAAACTTCAACATTTTTGCATATGTGAATTTATCAAGCAGTAAATCACTGTGAAATATATTCCTTTACACTCTTTTCTTCTACTAATGAGATGTTGCCAAAGGCAATAACCTCTGCTTTTCTGACAACTCTGATTTACAATCAAAGTTTACATATTCATAGCAGTTTTATGGTGTAGCTGCTCAAAAAAAAAAGGCCCCTTTTGTTTGTTAATATAAACACAAATACCATATGAGTACAACACCTCAGAGATGAATCACTGAATTTGTAATTAAAAATTGGGGGGGGGGGACAGTATGCATTAATAGTTAGATAAGTGCACAAAGATTAAAGAACAACCATTTAGATGTGATGTGATCAGTGAAAGCAATTCACTCAAATATTGCAGGTCCAGAAGATAAATCTACACTGAAGTGTAGGAAAGTCAAACTTAAAATAACCAAAGAATCTATATAGCTGTGAACTTTTCAATTTTCCTTCATTACAATGTCTATTTCAATTCTTAGAAGCTGTTAATGAGACTCTCAGCTTCTTGTATTGTAGGAAGTCCATTTGGAATCCAAAGACCCCACTCAGTGAATAAATAATTAAAGCCATGTGATGAATCTTTGCTAATCAAAATGCCAAAAATAGTAATGCATACTTTTGTAACACTGATAATTTAGTAAATTGCATTGTCCCCATGTTTACAATTTATAGTTTCGTTCTTTGACATATTATAGATCATGGAAGTCTAATGGCTACAACAAAATTTGAAGAATATGTTTCATTTAATCTGGAGGGTAACATTTCTATACAATAAGAACGATTTCTTCAAAGAATTTACATCATATTTGGAAGTATTTTAAATTTTTTACATATTTTGTGATGAAAAATACAAGTTTTTTTATTTTGTACCTGAAGTCAGCTTTCAGGCACTGCAATAGTTTTAATCCTGAAAATTACACTAGTAGGTGTCTCATAGCTCATATTGAAGTGTGATGTTATTTAAATATCACAGAAGGAGAAAATCTGTCTGGATTTCAATGTTTCTCATAGAAACCTTTAAGACATATTTTATGCTTCAGGTAGTGAACTAATATTATTTCATATGATTACATCAGTTGCTACATAGTATGAAATGTTGACTTTTTCACTAAGATTTAGGACAACACAAAAACACAGTAAAGAGCACACCAAAGAAGTATTTTACAAATGCATTTCTTTTGTCTTAAAAAGATAACAGGAATATTTTGTTATGGGAAGTTACTGGGTATCAAAACAAATAAGAGAGTTTGAAAACAATGAAACTTCCCTTTTAGCAATTGTCATTGGTAAACCACAGAGCAGACTCTAGTTTATTCTTTTCCCTAATGGAAGCAAAGCTTTTTATCCAATACTTAGAAAATTTCATCACTGATATAAATCATTTAATTTGAAGTACACTGACTTACACCCAAATGACTACTTTCTAATAATTTAGAGATATATAAACATTAGAATAAAGATACAGAAGTACTATTCCTAGAAAGAATCATGTTGTGTGGTAACTACCTTCTCTGCTTTTTCTTTTACAGAGCAAGACTTATGCCTGTGTTTTGGAGAGTCATCTGATGGGACTTACCATTGACTTTAGCATGGGCTTTGTCTGTTTTGATGCTGCCACGAAGGTAAAGTTCTAAGACTTATTTCCATCATTATTATTATTCATTATTTCTTATATTTTGGAATAAGTAGTACAACCTTAAAATGTACTTCTTTTCGTTATTCCAACAGATCATCTCTTGTCAAATCTCACATGCTGTTGTTTAAACTTGAGGGCAATTTCTAAATGATATGAAAAGTTGTATTCTGTTACGTGCTTGATACTAAAAAGTCAATACCAATATCAGCCTGAAACAAGCATCAGATCTTTATTCTTTAATTTCACATGAAAGGAAATAATCTTCTTGGTTTCAAGCTGATCTGTGAACTTTGAAAAGAACCTGCCTTTCTCTTCTTCTGTTTCACGGGTGGGAGTGTGTGTTATTATAGCAATTGTCTGTTTATGTTTTCAGTATTTTTGTTCAGGTGTCTGTAAAAAAGAAAACATACATAGTCTGCATGTCTTATGTTTTTCTTGTCAGCCTTAAAAAAGCTCAGTAAAACTGATGAAATAGTTTGCTGTATCAAGTGAATAATCTGGCATCAATTTCCATATTATATTAGATGCAAGTACAAATCTCAGTAAAATCATCGAGAGCCTTGGTGTGTTTGCATTTGCACTCATTGCTAACAAGTACTAAACTGTAAGCAGGCTTTATTGCTACTACTTGAGACTGCTGTTACAGGAGAATGTGAAATATTTTTCCTGAGTTCGATTTCTCTTCAATACCTGTTTTCCTTCAAAGTATTGCAGCTCTGGTAACAACCATTGCCAAAAATACCCTTTTCTCTCCTGAATATGCTCCTATCCTTAAGATAGCTTAAGTCAACTGTTAGCACCACATTCCTGATCTAACCCTTTTATTATATTGTTTGCACAAAATGTGAATAATTTGAAATTCAAATAGCTGTGTATAATTATTTCTTCTTGTTAAGCAAATAGTCTTGTATGATCCATCAGTGAAACACATGATGACTGTCAGCTTAGGAGGTATTATACAAAAAATCAGTGCAACAGAATTAAATTTTAGTGACTCAGAAAAGAAAAAAAGGTAGCGTTTCCCTCACTATTCAATAATATTATAGCAATGCCTTTGTATAAAAGTAATCTACATTTCTTTCAAAGCTCTTGTACAATTCTGGTCCTCAAAAGACTCTTTCAAAGCCATTATCTGCAGTGCAAACATACTCTACATTTCAGATAGCAAAGCACATGCACAACTGCCTTCGTACATGTTACTGTGGCTGAAGGGTATGTACCCTTTCAGTATGTCCTTAGAACATGTACAGCAGATTTCCAGATATAGAAAAAGCCCCCAAAACCTCTAGTAGAGATGCAACTTCACTATCTTGCTTTCTGAAAAAGTCATTGTGGCTTTCCAGTTTTACAAAATTTCTGGGGACGTCATGTTGGTAAACTATTACTTATAAAACAGATTGGTTTTGCCCTCTCAAAAAGAATTTTTTAAAATTATTTTTTCTCTCATAGAAAAGAGCAGAAAAATATTTCAGCTATTCAAATTGACTACTGAAACACTAAGGCAATTGCTAGCATTGCCAGCAGATGTGCATTCAGCTCTTGTCTCCTCTTCCTGCTGCTCCATGTTCCCTACCAGGTCACTTTAGTACTAACAGTAAATAATAAATTCCAACACTAAAACAAGTGCAGCAAAAAATTAGCATCTAACTTCCATTTCAAGCCAGAAAAGTCCTGACTGGGTAAGTTGGGAATCTATTCAACTTTCTCAACCTTTCTTCACGGGACAGGTTCTCCAGGCCTCTGATCATTTTGTGGTCCTCCTCTGGACCATCTCTAATAGGTCCATGTCTTTCTTATACATGTTCACTTCTATTGTTTTGCCTCTACTCACCAAATTCAAATACTCTTTTTCTGGATAAAGCTTAACTCGAAGACATATTCAATAGGTTTCAGAATTCAATGTCCAATAATTCATTCAATCTATCTCTCACTTCTCCCAGAATAACACTACAGATACAAAATATTTTAAGAAATTCAAAGAGGATCTTGAACAAGTGCTTGAAGGACAGATCTAATGAATATCATTAAGTATGTATTTAAAATTATTTATTTATGATATTTTCATGTTTCTCAAAATGCAAAGCTCAGGTAGCAGTTTCTGAGGACACCTCAGAACTTCTGTCTTGTATTTTGATGAAGTGAGGTCTTCAGTAATTTTTCAGGCAATTTCTATTTATACTAACATTGTGCTCATGTTATTTTAATTTTTCTTTCTTAATCACTATAGAATTGACTAGAACTATTTTTAATAGTGAATAATCACTAATAAACTGCACTGAAGACGAGTTCTTAGGCTCATGAATGGTTGTTCAGCTATTCCAACATTCAAGTTATTTAAGCAATGAAACGGTATTTAGTTTCTGTTTCCTTCACACATTTCAAGTTAATAGATTTTTTTATCCAACATTTCTCAAAAATAGCAGTCAAAATTTCACAAATGTTCTATAACCCAAACCCACTACCTGTAAAGAAGGAGGTGAGTAGCGCACCCATATCCGAAAAATATATTCACGTGTGTAGTTAAATTTAAATTTATTTACAGGATATAAGCTCCTCCCAATTTAAAGGTACAGTATTGGTTGAGGAAAAGATCAAGCTCACGCACTAGCCCTTGACAAAAGAATAATATACCGGATTATCATACACTCACCTCAGTCAAGCTGGGGGTTCCTTTTCTCGTCTTGATTGTTCTCACTAAGGTACCATAAAAAGGGGCCATTCCTGCTCTCCCTTTTAACCTTGCCAGGGGGTACCTTTACCAGGTCGGGTTTCCCTTTCTCCCCTGGTCGACCTTGCCTAGGGATTCCCTAGACCAAGGGGGAGACTTTACGACCTGGGCGGTCCCATCACCACAAGGTAACTCCAACATGGCCACTGCAAGAGCCCCCTTTTAAAAACTAGTCAATGATGACTGTGGTCAATCATAGCCATCTCGGCTTCTCATTGGCTGCTGGCCAGCTTCCTGGGTGTAACTGAGTCCTGAAGGTCTGGCGTAGCCCCGGGAGGCAGATTCCAGGGAATCTGCCTAGCAACAGCTTAGCTAGGGGGAGGAAACACCTGCCACGCTACCAACACTCATAAATGAGTTTATAGAGGGTAAAGAATCTCATTATGCTTATGGTTTCCAGACAAAAGCCTTACAACCCTGTGTGGCTTGTTTCCTTGTTTACTGTGATTTAATCTTTATATAATACTTGGGCTGTGTTAGTCAAAACTAGTGGTTAAAAACTGTCATCTGTGCTAAATCTATTTTAAGTCAAACAAATAATTTGGTAAAAGCATTATTTCTGTGGCTGCACAGACTTGTGATAAATATGAGTACACAAAGTATTAAACTGAGTTCTTCAGAAACAAATCTGTACTGCGATGTTATTATAACAGGACTGACATAAATCATAGCCATTTCTGCTGGATATCCCCTGCTTTCTCTTGCTCATTTTCTGACTGATATCTCTGAGACCCAAGAGTAGTTTATCATTTAAAGCATTTGGTATGTTGCTTCATAACAAACCATTGTGACTTCCTGAAAGGAGTATGAACGGTTTGTAAGACTACCTAGTTAAATCAGATTCTTCTAACACTTGGGAAAATAATTTCTTAGTTCAACTAAACAGTTTGCAAAATACCAAATGTAATTACATACATGTTTTTCCCTACACATTAAAAATGAGTAATGTTTTCTTGTTCTTCTGCAGCACTCTATAGAGCCAAGGTTCCAGTGCAAGATAGCATCTTTTATTTTCTTTTTATTCTTATTATTAGTGATATATAGTTTAAAAAAGAGCTCTGACATATAGGCCAAGCAGACATTGGCAGATCTTTGACTATGATTAATCTCTGTTCTATAGTCCGTCATTTGTAGTAGTGATATACCTGGAGTGAAAAGGTCACCTGCCTCCTGTGTTGGCATACATGGAAGTTTAAATCTGATCTTTAGTCAGTGTCCTCACAGCATCTCTTCTACTGGGGACTTCAAAAAATGTTCACCAGCTTTAGAGCAATTTCATATGCATACATGAAATACAGGATGTCAAATAACATTTGCTTAGTAAACTTCCCTTTTCTTGCTTGCTAGTATTCTACTAAAAGGAAATTTAATTAATGTTTGTAAATACCATTTAGATATTCTCCTTTCTCTTGGCTCCCTAATCAAGTTTTCCAGATTCTGTTTAGTTACTACTTGCACTACAAGATGTCTAAGTATATAGCATCTACTCCAGGCATAATTTTTCTTTTGAGACATTTTAGATGCTAAATGTCTTTCTGAGATATGGACGTGCACAGATATTATGATAAGCATTTATAAATAAAATTTTGCATCCATTGTAGCTACCTTAAGGATGGAGATGATAAATTAATAGGCATAACAAGATGTGTACAGAAGTTCATCTAACTGCTATTCTGAAAGTGATCTGATATATAAAACTACTTACTCAAGTAACATGTAACTTATATTTAACATGCTTCTAGCAAAACAAAGTCTACTCTTGAAGTGTATGGGTGTATATACATAGATATATGTATGTTATATATGTTTCTGTTTATACTAGCTTTCATTAAAATTAAACCCATGCATATTTGTATCATAGCTTATACAATAATATATATACATTTGTGTCAGTGTACGTGTGCAAAGTGCTATTATGTCTGTACTCCATCACATTTACAGCTCGTTAAAGCAGCAGTCAAAAATATGTGTCAGAAGACAAAAAAAAATCATCCCTTGTAGGACTGAAAATTAATTAAAGTTCTACTGAATTATACAGTGATGCTAGAATAAAGTAACAAAAGGCTCCATAATGGCTCACAAGGTGCATATTAACAAAGCTCGATGTGCCTATCATCTATTCTCTTGCAGACACTTTGCCTACTTCATCAAAATAGCGAATACACTGTAAACAATGAATAGCATTGCAAATATTTGATTTTTCTTTCATACCAAAAGGCTACTAAATAACATAAAACAGAATTTCTCCTGATGTAAAT